GATCTCTTCCAGTCAGTTGGCCAAGTGGTTGTTCTCCAGATTTCTTGGCACAACTTGGTGAGCACATCCAGGGTAACATCTGTTATCTGAAATACTTCAATTGGTATACCATCTATTCCAAGTTGTGTTTCATTTTAGATAGCCAATTTTTAATTTGCCCAGGCCTATCAAACCAGTACCTTGAGGAAAAAAGCATGTCTTTTTCTCTTAAGCATCTTCTGTTACAGTTGAATCTGAATCCATAAACAAGGATCCAGTCCAGAGCAAAACTTCAGGTTACAGCAATTAACACTAGCTCTCAGAATGAAACATCTTCATCTGGCTGGGGTCTGGTTAACATAACCTCAGCCATCTGTGGCTAGGTCCAAACAGGCATCAAATACAAACTCAAGAATCCACACATCTTCCTGTGTTTCAAACAGGCTGGTCCCCTTTATGAGTAGATTTTGACTTGACAGTATGTAATATCATCAATATTTGTCACAGAGAAGGTGGGTTCCTCTTCATTTTACATGAAAATTTGGAGTTCTGGTGAAGTAGTACATAGGGCCCTATGCTACTAACCCAAAGGTAAAGCCTGTCTGGTGGCTCAAACCTGGTAGCTCCATAGGAGAAACTATCCAGTGCAATTTACAGTCTCAGATACTCAGTAGAGATTCAGTTATGAGTGGGTTCCAACTCAGTCAAAATGAGTGAGAATAAGATTTAACAAACTGAGAGTGAGGAGGGTTTTGTCTTTTGCATATACCTGGTTTTGTTCTTTAGCCAAGAACGATTCCTCTAAGCTGAAAGGATACTCATGAAAAAGAACATTTTTTATTCTTTCCTTAAGATTTGCCAACTAGGACACAGAACCAAATGCTGAATATTAAATTCCAAATAACTTACTTGTTTAATACAAGGTGGGACAGGCTCAACAGGAAAACATTCTCTGGCTCTGAATAGCACATGACATACTATCTCACCACCCAATTGTTTCCTTCTTATCCTATATAAAAAGCTCTTTGTTCCAATGTTTTCCTTCAAAAAACCAACTCTACATTTCAATTTTTCCTAACATCTTTCTTCTCCCATGGAGCTGGTAGGTAGTCAATCATCCATCTTTTGGATAGCCATTGTATCACCATAATAGTTTTATTTTAAGGACACTGATGTGCAATGGAATCTAGAAAGAGAAAGCAAGAGCACTGCTCACCTTAGTGAAAGCTTTGACGGCATGGGTCAAGAAAGCTTCCTCCACATCCACAGGAATCGTCTGCAGATTCACTATGCAATGTAAAATGCAAAGAATTGTCTGGTGCTGACCCTGGTTTTTACAGAAATAAAAATCAAACAGGTTGTTTGAAAATTACCTTAGGAAATAAACTCAAAGCAACTATCATCTTCCTTGCATCAACAATCAACACCTTGGTACCAGCAGTCAAGGGATCAAAACACATATTGCATTGGGAAAAATCTGCTGTGGAGGATCTCTTCAAGTACTAAGGAGCAAGGTTGTCAGTTTAAAGATGAAGGTGCACCTGAGTAAAATCATAGTGTTTTTATTTATTTCTTATGCGTGTGGAAGTTGGACAATGAATAAGGATGACAGAAAAAGAATCAGTGCTTTTGAGTTGTGATGTTGGAGAAGAGTACTAAATATCTCATGGACTGCCAAAAGAACAAATAAATATATTTTGAAGAAGGTGCAACCATGGTAATTCATAGAGGTAAGGATGGAGAAAATTTGTCTCACATATTTTTGTTATGCTAAAAAAGACCAGTTGAAGAGTGAATGTAAGTGGCTGTCCAGGGAAGCTGGTCTCTGGCTGATATGCTCATTAGCACCACAAAGGACAATTCCAAACTTTATAAGAGATGGGGAGCATTCAGGTGAGATTCCTGAAAGGCTGCTCTACAGTCAAAAGAGAGGTAGAAGTACCTTAGGAAAGGGGAGCTCTCCAACACAGGCCCAGAAATGACTCATGGCATATCAACATGTCCTCCGTCCTAAAGGGAACACCTTAAGTCTGCAATTAATCAATAACTTCATAAAGACATAAAACTGTCAACAACCTATGCAGACACAATAGAAACAACCAAACACATACCAAGTTGTGCCAAGAAATCTGGAGAACAACCACTTGGCCAACTGACTGGAAGATATCCATATTTGTTCACATACCAAAGAAAAGTGACCCAACAGAGTGTGGAAACTATAGAACAATCTCATTGATTTCACATGCAAGCAAGATTTTACTGAAGATTATCCAAAAAACAACTGCAACAGCACGTCAGCAGAGAGAAGTCCAGGCTGAGTTTAGAATGGGTCTTGTTACTAGGGATATTGTAGCTGATGTTAGATGGATCTTAGCTGAAAACAGGGAATACCAGAAGAATGTTCATCTGTGTTTCATTGATTATGCAAAGGCGTTTGACTGTGTGGATCATAACAAACTGTGGCTGACTCTGAGAAGAATGGGAATCCCAGAACACAGCAGGAAGTAGCTAAGAGAATACGCCATCCCTTTTTCCTTATGAATCAGGGTGAAGTCTCTCTCAGGGAGGAGTGATAGGGAATGGCAAAGGACACACTGACAAAGGAGATT